CCCAAGGACCCATTATGTGGCACCCGTAAAAAACAATTAAAAAGAACAAGTTTATTGTCAGGAGGTCTAAGTTCACTGCAGACAGTACTGTGCAGTGTACTGTTCCCCTGACAAACACTCAAGCTCTGCTAGTCAGAGGATAAAGAAAACACCCTGAAATAGAGTTGAGAAACCTCTTTGTGTTTACAAATGTTTCTGTGAAACAAGAACTTTTAAACAAATAATGTAAAGTATGAACTTTGAAGTATGGAGTTCACATTTCTTCCTTTGATTAATACTTTAACATCCGTAATACTTTAATGTAGCAGTATGTGCTGCAGTTTGTCTTCCTCTATATTGGTATCTAATAAATATTCCCAATACAAAATATTTCTTAATAAGTATTTTAATTGTTCCTCCTATGGCAACAGAAAATATGCTGCCCAAAATCATCAGTTATTGTCAAAAGGCAATATTATTTGAGGCAGAAATCTTGTTGGAGAAATATGCTTAAGAGGTGAGATCATTCACTGTTTTAATCTCCAAGTGAGACATTTCCTTAGAAGTGGTTATGCTTCTCTCATGTGTGCTACTACTTCTCTTTGAGTTCCCTATTCCTCTTTCTAATTTTAGAAACATAGGGAAAAAGTGTTGAGAGACATCTGGATCCTCATGTCCAGCTCCATACCACCACAGGCAATCATCTTACATATTTTCTTTTCTAGCTTCACCTTAAACCTAGTTTTATTCCTTTCCCTCCTGCAAGGCTCTGAAATCTCATGATTTATCTCATTGGACAAGATGGCAGCTTGCCTCAAATCTTATTCCTGTGCCAATGTTATCCTTTAATTTAAATAGGTAATTTTGTTTCCTGTTATTTATCCCAGTGGGGCAATATTGGAGTAAAATAAATAATTATCTAACCCATCCCTGTTCCTGCTCAGCTCCTGCTTTGTTGGTGAAACAAGGCAGGTCTGTTGTGTTTGCTAGGCAAAAAGGAGCTTTTCAGTTTCCTCATTCAAGGCCAGCTCTACTCCATATGTGTGCAGGTTTTAATTCATCTTTCTTGACTGTGTATGGCCAAACAGAATAACAGATGTAGTGGTGATTTTTCTTTTCCAATGCTTTGTAAGTACTTTTTTTACTTCTACTAGGATTATGTCAGCTGGCCTGCCCCAGGCTGTGTTGATTTTTTCCCCGGCTTCTATAGAGTCCTGATTATCCTAACAAAATACAGATACCCCTGTATTTGATGAAACATTGTGTTCTCAGCAGAAATTGTTACTTTTGCCCCCAGAATGCACGATCTCGCACCCTGCACTCTTAACCATCGGCTGATTTTTATGACACTGCATCTCCAAGTAGATTCCTGTCCAGTGATTCCATCATCCGTGTCCGTGTGCGCAGAGCCTCCCACAGCCCATCAGCCACAGTTTCCAGTAGCTGCTGTTTCAGCCCTGCTCAAACATCCTTGTGAGCCCATCCTTGTAGGTTCTGGATAAGCGCCTGCGTTGGCTGTTCCAAATCGAGCACCACAGAGAACTCCTTGGCAGAGCTGGATGTCTGGGATCTCTGCTGACAGCTGCTCTGTCTGGGACAAGGTGCCTTCGGGGAAGCCCTGTTTTATTTCAGCAAGCCCACAGATTCACAGAATCACAGAACCAGTTAGGTTGGAAAAGACCTCTGAACTCATCAAGTCCAACCTGTGACCCAACACCACCATGTCAACAAGATAATGGCACTGAGTGCCACATCCAGTCTTCCTTTAAACAGCTCCAGAGATGGTGACTCCATCATCTCCCTAGGTAGTCCATTCCAATGTCTAATCTCCCTTTCAGTGAAGAATTTCTTCCTAACGTCCAACCTGAACCTGCCACAGCTTAAGACTGTCTCCAGTGCTGTCCCTTGTCACTTGTTGCCTGGAAGAAGTGAATGACCACCACGTGGCTACATCCTCCTTTCAGGCAGTTGTAGAGAGCAGTAAGGTCTCCCTTGAACCTCCTTTTCTCCAGGCTAAGCAACCTCACCTCCTTCAGCCTTTCATCATGGGACTTGTGCTCCAGATCCTTCACCAATTTCGCTGCTCTTCTTTGGAGGCGCTCCAGCCCCGCAATGTCCTTCCTGAACGGAGGGGCCCTCTGACAAGTTTGTATTTTTATACAAACTTTATATACAAGTTTGTATTTACGTGGGAGAGGGTAGCTGGGCGCTGTGAGCGGAGTTGGCGGGGCGCGCCCCCGAGCTGGGGCCGAGGGCTCCGGGGCTCGGGGGCCGCCCCCGGCCCGAGCGCGGCGGGGCTGCCCGGGCGGAGCGCCCGGAGCGGGGCCGGAGCGGGGCCAGAGCCGCCCCCGCTGCGGCGGGAGGGCCGGGCCGGGCCGGGCCGGGCCGGGCGGGGCCGGGCGGGGCGGGGCGGCGGTGCGGGGCCATAAAGGCGGTGCGGGCGGCGGCGGGGCCGGCGTGCTTGCTCGGGGTGAGCGGCGGGGCCGAGGTGAGCGGCGGGGCCGGGGCTCCTCTCCCCTCTCCGGGCGGGGCGGGCGGGCTGTGCCGGGAGCGGGAGCTCGGCAGCGCTCCTGCCGTGGCTGTGGGCGCTGGAGGCGGCGTAGGGCGCAGGGAGCCGGACCTGCCGTCCCCAGCGCCGCTAGGCTCTGCGGGACAGGCCCGCCGACTTTCTGGGTGTTGTGTCAAATTATATGTCTTATAGGAGAAAGTTGCTGCTGCAGGGTAACGCACCTCGTCGTGACCAAGGTGAAGGTGTGTAGTCCTCGCTCTTTTTTGCTTCTGGTTTGAATGTTGTATTCAATACTCTTTGCACTCGGTATTAAAGATAGTTATGTATTAAAGACTGTTAGTGTCTCCTGCCTCCGTCGTGGTTTTCTTCCCAAGGAGTGAGTATCTTCAGCTGTCAGATCTTGTGAAGGGAATGGCTGGCAGTGAAGCAAGGGGCTTGGGAGATGTTAGCATCCCAAATACACTGGAGTCGCTAGGAATCTGTTGTCAGTAACATAAAGCTTGCCGAGTAGGCAAACACTAGTGATTTGGGCGTGTGAGGCTTTGGAGGTTGATAGCCTGAGAATTAGACCCTCCACTGAACTGGAAATGAAATACTTCGTCTTCCTCCCCCCAGGGGCAGCAATGTGCATTATTCTCCTAGGTGAGGGTCACCAAGCAGAACCAAGTGTGTGCGGTGGGGTTGGAAGCACTGGTCCAAATCACTTCTGGTCACTGGTGAATGACCTGTGTGTGTTGTCTTGGCTGCAGAGACGGCAACAAGTGGGAAGAAGGAGAGGGAATAGTTTCAGAGGCCATAGCTGAAAGTGCTTGCAGCTTCAGTTAGAAGTCGTGGGAAGACTCCTGTGTTCTTTAGTGATCTGAAGGTTTTAATGGAAATACAGTGAGTTTACTGAGGAAATGTACTTTAATGTGCTTGAACTGCATGAGAGCAACTGCTGGCAGGCTTGATGCTTTTGTGCTTATGCTGTGTTGGAGCATTAAAGATCAAGCTTGAAGAACCTCTTGATTTGTCCTAGATTAATCATCTTGCAAATTAAAGGTTTGTTTCGTGCCTGCTGGTGCTGATGTGTTCCATGGCAGCACAGTTTGTAATGCAGCAGCTCATTCTCAAGGACAGAAGCATTTTAACCTCGCTGTGTGCTTGCTCTAGGTTTGACTCTCTTCATCCAAACAAGTGGCTGGTGAAATGAGTTACTCAAAAATGAAAAGCTGAAAAAGGGGAGGTCTGAGATGACAACAGCTGTTCTGTGAAACTTGCTTAAAAATGATCCATGCACTGTGATATTGCGTGCTATGAAACTATAGGGTTTGGGTTTTCCTTCTTGGTAGGCAAGAGTTAATTAGGTTCAATTTGACTAGTCTGACCTTGGCAGCTGCAGTCTTCAGGAGTACTTGGGGCAGAAGGAGGTGAGGCCTGAATTAGTCTGTAGCTGTCAGGAAGCACCTGGCTACACAGAAACCTGGAACACTTGAAAAAAGAAAAGGGTATTAACACCAGTTTGAGTTGCATGACTGTAGAACATCTGAAAGTATCTCCATGCTACAAAAGGCGAGTGACTTATCACTTGTCACAGCTAATCAGATCATTCTCTTATGCTTCAAATGTTCAGACAAGGCTGTGACCAAGTCTGGATGGTGAGATTCTGGGTGTTAAAAGAGTAATATAAGCTTGGTATGCATCATCTGAATTTGTCCCAGATCTTACAAGCTTGTTTGGCATTCACAAATGAGCAGAACTTGGGGCAAGTATGAACATTTCCAGAAAGGTACTTTGGTTAGGCAGTGTCTCTGGAGAAGGGCAAAGAGTTGCTTACAAAGACTGGAGTGCCCATTGAATGCTGTCACCTGAGTTTGCAGCTGGAATTCTGTCCAGGATGTTGAAGAGCTGTAGCTTTTTGCAGGAGCAAGATATACTTGGCCTTTATCCTGTGGGTGATAGATGCTGGATCATTTAGAAAGGAAAGCATTCTATGTAGAGGAAGAAATCTTGTATCTCTGACATAATTTAAGAGTTGTCAGTGGACTGGATGTCTAAGCCCTGAAACTGACACCTGAGGCTGCCCTACAGTTGTGTTAGTTGGAGACAGCAGTTTGAGCTTTATATGCATCATGAAACAACTTCAAAGCCTGACTCTCAGGACTCTCAGAAGTCCTTTGCAGCTCATCTCACTTCTGCTGGTGCTGCTGATGACTTTAGCCTTAGCTTGTGTCATCTTTGGTAATTTCTATTTGATACAAACGACTTTCCTGAGGTAACTCTACCTCACCAAGAAAAAATAACCAGTGGCAACTAATATATTTTTTGCCTGCATCAATAGAAAAGCTGTGTCTCATTTCAGGTGAAAGGATTGCAGATAATCATTAATACATGGTTATTTCTGTCTAGTTTGCGTCTGTGTGAATGGACAGAAAAACAGAGCCTAGGAATAGATCTAGGAAGCAGAAGCTCTGACTTGTCTTTTTCTTTTTATATCCTACTTCCAGGTTCTTTGGAGAAGAAAAGCCCTAAGATGGCAGGCAAAGGAAGCAGCAGAGCAGACTCCATGTCCTGCAGTGTCCTGAACTGGGAGCAGGTCAGCCGTCTGCACGAGATTCTCACCGAGGTGGTTCCCATTCACGGCCGGGGGAACTTCCCGACGCTGCAGATAAGGCTGAAGGACATTGTCCAGACGGTTCGGAGCCGCCTGAGCGAGGCGGGCATCGTGGTCCACGACGTCCGATTGAACGGCTCTGCGGCTGGTCACGTCCTGGTCAAGGATAATGGGCTGGGATGCAAAGACCTGGATCTCATTTTTCAAGTTTCTCTTCCAAGTGAGGCAGAGTTTCAGTTAGTCCGAGATGTGGTCTTGCGATCCCTGTTGAATTTCCTGCCAGAAGGGGTGAGCAAGCTGAAAATCAGTCCCGTGACACTGAAGGAAGCCTACATCCAGAAGCTGGTCAAAGTGTGCACGGAGACTGACCGCTGGAGCTTGATATCACTTTCCAACAAGCATGGCAAAAACGTGGAGCTTAAGTTTGTGGACTGCATTCGGCGGCAGTTTGAGTTCAGCGTGGACTCATTCCAGATCATTCTGGACTCCCTGCTCTTTTACTATAACTACTCAGAAACCCCCATGTCGGAGCACTTCCACCCGACTGTGATTGGGGAGAGCATGTATGGAGACTTTGAAGCAGCTTTTGATCACCTCCAGAACAAGCTGATAGCTACCAAAAACCCCGAGGAGATCCGAGGCGGTGGGCTACTCAAGTACAGCAACCTCTTGGTACGAGACTTCAGGCCCATGGATAAGGACGAGATCAAAACGCTGGAGCGCTACATGTGCTCCCGGTTCTTCATAGACTTCCCAGACATCCTGGATCAGCAGCGCAAGCTGGAGACCTACCTCCAGAACCACTTCTCCAAAGAAGAGAGGAGCAAGTACGACTACCTCATGATTCTGCGCCGGGTGGTGAATGAGAGCACCGTCTGCCTCATGGGGCACGAGCGCAGGCAGACTCTCAACTTGATTTCTCTGCTGGCACTCAAGGTGCTGGCAGAACAGAATGTCATCCCCAATGCCACTAATGTGACCTGTTACTACCAGCCAGCACCTTATGTCAGTGACGCAAACTTCAGCAACTACTACCTGGCAAGTGCCCCTGTGCTGTACAGCCAGTCCTACCCCACCTGGTTGCCTTGCAATTGATCGCTCCCCTCGAGTGCTCCTGGCTGGAGACTGCTGAAAGCCAGGAGTGTAAATATAGACAAGTAGTAAGTGTCAGTTGGATGTTCTCTAATGGAAACATGACTGTATCAGACTGTCCATTTCCTGGTGTGCAGTGGGATTATGCAGCCAGGTGACCTGCTATGAATCTTTAAGAGTATCTCTACAAATGCCAAAAAGCCTTATTACCTCTTCGTGGGGAGAAGAGAACCAGCAGCCTGGACGTTAAGAGGAGCAGTTAAGAAACTTTGTACTAGCTCTGGAAGTGGCTGTTAACATGGGATATAAGTGGAGTATTCAGTAAACTGGGTTGGTTAATTGACTGTAAAATGCCTTAAGCAGAAGCTGCTCCTGGAGTAGCAGTGAAACTCTGCTTTCTGTTTCCTAACCTCATTACTCTTCCTCAGTCCAAGTTCTGGCCAAATTTCTCTTGAACTAATTGTGCCAAGACTGGGCTCATGTTATGCTTGGGTCGCTTTCACTTTGTGTCTGTGTGAGCTGGTAGCAGTATGGATAATGTCTGTCTTGTAGAGGACATGAATGTTGTTTCCTGTACTGCCTATGGCTATGTGGTCCTGCCTTGAGTTCAAGATTAATTTCTTGGAAGTTGAAGATAGATAGTTTAGTAAATCTATTCATAAAGGGTAAGCTGTTTGAATTTTTCTTGACTACAAAACTTGGAAGGTGGCATTTCTAAAAACACACCAAAACATAATCCAAAACTTGGTAATGTAAAAAGTCCTTGAAATGAGGAATTGAAGCTTTAAATAGAATTGGAGCCGCAGTTTGAACATTAACTTGGAAAAATATTCTTGAGTCCAGCACGAAGCTAAAGCTTTTCTGACTATCTTTCAAAACAATTTTGGCTCAGTTGGAAAGTAGCACAGCTCTTACTTTGGGGGTTGGACCAGATTTTCTTCCTCACAGGTCTGCAGCAAAACCAGCAAAAACCCTGAAGAAAAATCCCAAGTCACTATAAGTTGCAGGATTTTGTGCACTCCTGCCACAGCATGAATTCTGAAAGTGCCTCCTAAAATGAATTTCTTACTGTATGACTTCAGGCCTGTCCTGGAGGTTTGCCTTTCTGTCACCACTGAGTTATCACTATCACCTGGTCCCTGCATGAGAGAGCATGTCGAGTGGTTAGGGTAAAATTCTTCCTTTTTACTGCTCTTAACCCTCACTTGAGGAGGTGTACAAACCCTGAGCAGAGCTCTCCACAGAAGTTCTGTGTGTTGAAAGTCTGGGCCTGAGTTCAGAATAGTCTCTGGAAGAGTGTGCACTCCCTTGGAGGTACAGAGGGCTGATCTTCCTGAAGGATGTGTGCTGAATTTGCTGCTTTGAGACTCCTGGGCTTTATAAGGAAGGTTAAAAACTCCTCAGTTATTTATGTAGTGGTGTTATTAACAGGATGATTTTCACTGAATTACAATAGTAAAATACATATAGCAATGATCTTGAATTTCTTTTGTTTAACCAGAGATGTAGACTAGAAAGGCAAATCTTAGAGCTATTTATTATGTGCTGGTGCAATGTTTAAGAATGCTTGTTCACTGAATCTTTTTTATTACTTCTGTAACTATTTATTACTGTTTCTGCAAGCTTGTAAGACCAAAGTGCCTGATCCAACAAATGATTAAGGCTTAGAAGGTAGAGCAGAAAGCAGATGGAACACCAATGTTTGGTTGCCATTCAAGGTGGAAAACAGCAGCAGTGCTGTACTTAAATGGTGGTAAAAATGGCCTGCTCCTCATCAGACCAAGACGTTCTTTCCACTTTTCATAACTACTTCATAAAGACTGTCTCAACAGAGTAGTGAGGCTGCTTCTCTGTTCAGACTTCATTTAGCTTAGGAAGGCAGGGCGGGATGCAATCTACCAAGTGGACTGTATGTAGCTAAGCAGGATTTAGCTTAATTTCCTGAACAATTTTGATAGCAGTTTTGGTAGCAAAAAGACAAACAATTTGGTGGATTATATTGTATGTTTTTTTCATTAAAGACTTCCTGATTAGTCAGCCAAAGTAGCTAAACTTGAAAGCAAACCCAGCCTTTTTCATTAACTGTGGCTTGGACTTGGTGTGCTTTACAGACAAGACATCTGTCATCCAAGACTTTGACTTTTTAAAAACTAACATGATGCCAGTGTTGTCATGTGTGTTAAACTTAGTGCAAGCTTACTGCTGGAATGCAATCCTAGGCAAGAATAACTCCTGCCTGGAAAGCAATACTTGGCCTAGTATAGAGTGTCACCATAAAGAAGACTTGAGGGTTTGTAATTGCTGTCCTCTCTTGCATAGATGTTTTTGAAGCCAGCCTATGCTATAGCTATTGCAGAAGTGAACAGGTACCTAGAGGGGCTCAGACTCAGGTGTCTGCCTTCTCTGTGATGTCATGGCTGATCTGTAGGAACTGGTTTTGTGCATTGGCTTGTGTGGAAGAAGTGGTGAGATGATTGAGAGGAGTCCTCACAAGCTGGAAACACAGACTTGTTTTATTATCTTTAATGCCTTGGCTGCTGGACATCAGGCCAGGTGCATCTCCTGGAAAAGGAAATGCTAGAGAATGAAAAAAGGCTGAATTGGATTCCCAGTGAGGTAGAGCTATGGAGAAGTTAAGTTTCATGCCATAACTATTGTGCTTTTGCTGATGTAACTTGATGCTGAGGCCTTTGAGGAAGCTCCACATTGAAATGCTGCTCTCAGAACAGCTGAGTGAGTGCCTGGGCTTGAGCTTTGCAGGACTCTTGTGTTCCCTGTCTGGTTGTTAGGATGCTCTGGCATGTGGGAAATACTGATGCTTTGTAACCTGGCTCTTATATACTAAACCCTCGAGTGGTTAAATTGTATCCTGAAGCTGCACACTGCCTGCTGCATTGACCCTGGAGTGCCAGGGGTTGCCAGGGCACTGCTCATCCCGTTGCCTTCCAAGTAATCCAGGCCTGGCAGGAAAAGCTGGTGTACTTGGTAGCTTCTCATCACTGTGCTGCAGGTGCTCCCCTTTCTGTTCGGGTGGTGCTGGCAGCTTGAAGGTGCAATGGCAGTGGCTCAGTTTGCTGTGGGTTGGCTGGTTTGAGTCCAGGTTTGTGGGGAGCCCTCTTGCAAGGGGTAATTTGAGAATGAGCTCTCGGTAAAAGTGATGATCCTGGGCCAAGTCTAGGATGCCTGCTTGGTTCAGTCACCCCTCAGCACTAGTGATGCCTCTGCTCTGTAAATCTCTTCTAACCTCTTGTGTGTCATGTGGAGCTTAGAGAGAGACTGCTGTGCCTCAGACTGCTACCTGATACATTCCCTCTGGCAGTGGCATTAAAGCAAAGCTGCAGTGACACTCAGTGCATCATTCCTCAGGATCAGGCTTCTACTAACTAGGCTGTGGTGTAAAATAGCTGTTCTCTTTGTGTAGCTTGTAAGCACTGCTGGACAAAGCCAGTCTGGGGTTAAGCACCTGTTGACAACATTTATTGCCAACTTCCCTTTGACTTGCAGTTTATTGTTGTGACTTCCTCACTGTAAGATAGACTTTTTTGTTTGATAGAGATGCTACTAAAGAGACCTGGTAGAAGACTGTGTTTTAGTCACTTTGGTAAAAAAATCCCTGTGCTGATCCATGGTCACTGTGGCAAGTTGTAAGCTAAAGCATAGTTTGTGCTTACTCTGCTAAAGATTTAATTATTGCTGTGTTTGTCCTCAGCTCAGTCAGTCAATCATGAAGTTGGGGGTTTAAGACTACTGCTTGCTTCTGAACAACCATTTTTCAAAATATCTTCATGCTTTCACTTAATCATCTCCTCTACAAAGCAGTAGGTAGTATTTAAATCTAGTCCAAATACCTAAAGCTTTTTACTGGAACTTAAAGAGCCATATTTTGGACTTGAGTTCTGGGGTTAAGCACTTGGCATGTGCCTAGGCTTTGTGGTTCCCAATTCCTGGAATAATCACTGATGTTAGTAGTGACCTCCCCTTGTCACTAGATAAGTAATTGGGGAAAGGACTCTTAGAAGAGAACCTGGACAAATTGCCTTAATCCTAAACTGTCAGTGTACTGATGGTACTTGTTTCCCGTTCCTCTCACTCAGCTCAGTCAGGATTCTGTAGTTGTTAGGCACAGGAATGAGCAGTAATTGACCACAGCCACCAACAGCTTGGTCTAATTTGGGCATTGGGAGAGCCAAATGAATAATAAAACTTCCAGCCCTCACATCTAAGTCTTGCTCAATTGTTCCTTGAGTACAGTTAAATGTATTTCATATATGTTCTTTATTTTCAGTGAAGCCAGATATAGAGTGGGATGTTGGTCTGTAGTAGAAACTTTGGAGGGAAAGGTTGGAGCACTCTGGTTTTTCTCACTTACATGTCTGGATTGGGCTTGTCTCTCTGAATAAAACTGCACTTCCCCTTTTTCCTATGTTTCTTATTATTTTTTGCTATTAAAAGAAGTCAGCTCTTGGAAAACCTGTCTCTCATCTCTTTGGAAGAAGTGAGTTGTGTTTTTTGTTTTTTTTTTTTTTTTCTTTCTCCCCCTCCCTCTTTTAGCTGGCAAAACAGGGTACTAGAAATATTTGGATTTGTGATGAGCCCAAATGTGAGATTGGTCACAGTAACTTTGTCTACTGTTCTGCACTGTGGTGTTCACTTGTCATCCTTGGAAATTGGGGTTTGGACCTTAATGATGCTGAAATTCTTGTGCAAATAAACATATGCTAAACCACTCTTGCCTCAAGCTATTTTTGCATCTAAGTAATGCTGACAAAGTATCTGTAGAGTTATTGACCAGTGGGTGTGCAGGTGCACTTGTGAGGTGAGTAACAGTGTGGGGTACACAGCAATGCTTGCTTTAGATGTTGTTTGAGGTACATGTTTTATATCTGCCTCAACTTACTGAAGATTAGTCAGTCAAGTGAGACATGATTAATCTTTCACTTTCATTACAGAGACAGCTTCTAGAGAACCATTTTTCCCTGTCTGACCATCATCAGGTCTCACCT